CTAGGTGGCAACGCTGACTTCGCATCCATCATTTCCCGCGTGCTCGCACTGAGGGCGCAGCATACTGGCGCCGCGCCACCCCCAGAACTCCAAGCCCTCTTGGGTACTTTAACCACGACCACCACTGCGTCTCCGACTCCGGAAATCCCGTCTTCCACTTTGCCACCGACAGTGGTTCCCTCGTCCAGCTTGGACCCTCTGAGTGCTCTTCGACAGAGGGGCTTCGATTTGTCGCTGTTCGGACCGCAATCGCTCGGGCAATCGTTTTCACCGGTTTTCCAGCAACCCGCTACTACGACCCCGGTCCCGACTACCACGACTACCCTGCCTCCACCGCCACCAGTCACTGCTCCACCGCAACCCGTTTTGCAAGCAGCACCCGCAATTCCTGAATCCGTGCTCTCAAGTCTTTCCGGCGGCAATCAAGAAGCGCTCCTGGCTTTTCTGAGCTCCCGGTATGACTGAAAAAATATTTCCTCGAGAAATTCGATATTTATCACAGAAAAAAAGGAGTTGCAGTAGTTTAAAAAATGTTCATACACCCGTACGCTCGTCAAAAAAATTATACAGCATTAAAAAACTCCGTCCGCCCTGTGAGATATGACCAGCGATAATATTATTGAAAAATGTATGTTTTTTAATTGAAAACTGGAATGAAAGGTTTTAAGAAAAATATCTAATGATTTTATGGTAATTTTTTTTACAAATATCATCTCAAAGGATCTAAGTTTGCATTAGCAAGCGTTCGGTCATGAAAAATCGTTGCATAAATTAGTCCACTTTTACCCGTAAAAATCATATGGACTGCAAAAAAAAAGGTACGGAACAGTCATGATTTACGAAATAAGAAAGCATAGTTTCTGTAAAACGTACGACATGCTAATATTTTAAGGTAGATGCGAGATTGAATGGATATCTGGACATTTTCCTCGTTCACTGCTTTGATAAAAGACGAACTATCATATCATTCACTGATACCGTCGTTTTACAATATGAACCACATAGATGGGGCAATTAAAGAAATGTAGCAATCATTACAATAGGTTTCATCACGATGCGTATACTATCTCTGAACTATTGGAAATATCGAGCACCTTCGGTCTGCTGCATCGGATGAAACTTTATACAATATTACAGTAGTTCAAAAAGCCAATTTTTCTTGATGAGATACAAGGACGTGTGTGGAAATTTAAAATTCCCACATAACTCAATTTAGCTAAAATGGAAGCCTTAATATATCATGTAAGAGAGGATCTCGAATCACTATACAGTACTGTACAGTACTTCATCGTGAATTATGTAACCGCAACTTCTAGGTAGTCGTTCGGCAGTTAATAAATGTTGTATCGAAAAGATGCTTACTTTTTTAATTGACGAAAATTGAATTATCGAATCATTCCGAACTGATAAAATACCCTGACGTTAAAATTCCGTCCGAGTATGTCGATAATGATTTTTACGTGCTTCTTTAATAGGTTTGATCTCGTTCCGAGATCAGCGGCTGCTTCTAGACCATCAGTTGCAAATCCTGTACAATCAAACGTCATTCCAGAAGTGGTAACATCAGCTCCTCCTCCACCACCACCACCACCGTCGACCACGACCACAACCGAGGCTCCAACACCTCCACCGAGTCCATCACCAATTGTCGAATTAGCTTCAGCGTGAGTACCTCGATTTTTCTTTATCTTCGTCGATCTTCCGT